CTTAATACATACACACACGTAAAAATACGCAGGATATATTTTTAATATACAACATATCTAATTAAAAACGAGTCCATGAGTCGCTCCTCTCCATCCTGTCGCAGCTAGCACAGTGTTAGCATGCCAGACATTTACGGATATTTCGCGACAAGTTTTACGTCTTTAAACACCAAGTAATCCTCTATAAAACCAAACGCATGGTTTAGCTAAGTATTTGAGCCAAAATATCGATAGGAGCATATTTACTCACAGTTTTACCCGAGAACAAGTCTTCAATATTCGGACAATTGAAAGTTATGCTACTTCCTGTCTGTACGGAAGCCTACATGAAACAAATATGTAGTTTTGCGTTTTTCGACTTGCGCGTGCACACGAACACACGAACACATACAAACTATGCTTCACTAAGTTTAAAATTGGACCGCAACCCATTTTCTTTATTTTAAACTCTTTAGTTTTTGTTTTGTTTTTTCAAAAAAGGGATTTTTGTTTTATTTTTTAAGATGTGAACCAACCTTTGTCGACTTTGGTTAATTCAGACTATTTGTTTTTTGTTTTTTTTTATTACACTGGAATTCTCTGTAGTGTAACTCGCCCGCGCGCCCGCTGGCACCGCAGCTTATAATAATAATTAAAAAAAAAAAAAAAAAAACTGAAACAACGCGCGTCTCCGCTGCGCGTCCCCGACAGCACTTTCAGTATTGCACTTTCGCAGTCTACCGTCCCTTCGATTCTGCCACCCGGGCTGCAAAGATGACCATCAACACGCTGACGAAAGGAGGCTGGCACCGAGAGCAGATGCCATGTTTTCGAAAGGTAGCAAAAGCTTTTACAGTGTGCAAACTGAGAGCATGCGCATACATTTACTCTTCTATTAAGTACTTTTTTATTATTGTTATTGTCGGATACTGTGTACTGCCGCTGCTGCTCACTTTGTTTGGACTAGAGTGATGGAATATTCTATTCCATTCTACTATTCCTGTTTAAAAATGGAAAAAAACAAAAAAACAAACAAAGTTTGTAAAATGATTATTTGCGCATGTGCTGACAACGGATTGTGAATATTTTTGGGCACAGGCAGATAGAGATGAAGCTGCTAGGATGGTGTAAAAGGAGAAAACCCTAGAGAAAATATATGGCTGTAGAGAAGGAGGTTGAGGTTGAAATATGAACGATAAAAAATGTGCTTCCATTAATAAATGTTTCTTAATTATCATGGTTTCATTAACACTAGGTAAAAGGACATTTTGTACATCTTTAAGCTCTGGTTTAAATGTTTTGTTTTTTTGTGATGTCCCACAGATCATGTCTCTTTTGCCAGTGATGTCCCACAGATCATGTCTGAAAAGTATTTTAAATGCACCTGACTGTGGAAGCACACTGAATGATGATTCTCTTTACAGATGGAGAAGGTGATCATAGCCATGCAGGATCCTGACATGGGCATGAAGATGAGAAACCAACGGCTCCTCATCACCGTCATACCTCACGCCATGACCGGTGCGTTACTTTCCACCGGAGCCTCTGTCCGTCCCGGGGGCCTTAAACATGAATTGAGGAGAGATACATTTTAAACTTTTTGCCACTGTCTGCAGGTCGTGATATCGTCGACTGGTTGATCCATAATTACTCCTTGTGCGAGGAAGGTAAGGGACCTTTACGAGTATCTTGCTTGTTGTGCGCCGTTGCCACATGGCGTTGTTCCACATGATGCTGTTGCCAGGATATGGTGTTTTCTCCTCAGCTGACGTGACGTCGCCGTGTGGGGCTTTGCTGTTTCCAGTAAACAGAAAGTGATGTGAGCCTCAGGGAGGGAAGGGGGGGGTGGAGGAGAGGGATCCAAGTTTGATTAACTCACCCTGATGATCTGAGTTTGATTAGGGTCTCTGTGGACAGTTTCTACCTGAGGAGAGAGTAGAGGGTGGAAGAGTCAGTCAGCAAAAGCCAAAGGTGATTAAAAACACGGGGTCTATCAGTGTGAACAGCGTAGCTCGTTAACGAATGCCAAGAGACTGGAGATTAACGGTCACCAGAGCAAAGTCAGGGGCTCATTTTTTGACAGTGAACTCAAAATGTAAAATATTAAACCTCATATATTTCCTCTAAATCATATTTTGCGTATTGCGTGTAATGCTTTTCAAAAAAGAAGGAATCGGACCTTGAAACCTTACAATTTTTTTTTATTACTATCAGAGGTTATAACCCTGTAAAGTACTGTATATATTAAAAGTAAAAATTATTTTTAGAATTTTAGTCTCTTTTTTCACTAATTTCTTTTTGTATTCTTTATTATTAGTTTATTATTATTATTATTTTTTAATTGTTATTATCAATAAGTTATACTTTTTTAACATAGTTATTAGAATTTTAGTCTTTCTTTTTGACTTATTTTTTATCATTTAATTAGTTTATATTATTATTATTATTATTATTAACAATAATAATAAGTTATATTTTTAATGTGGTTTTTTGTACCTTAAATTTATGAAAAGCCTGAAGTTTAGGGATGTTTTAGCATTTATTAATATTAGTATTTTTTTCCATAGTTTATTGCCATGTAAGTGAAGGTTACACAATTTCTGCCTTGCTTTGGTTAATTTTAGCATTTAGCGATTTCTATCACTTTCTTTCTATAGCTTTTCTTTCTATGACATATGCTTTCAGCCCTTTGTGGCAAAAACAGTCAGACGCAATCCATTGATTACTTTCTATTTTATGCCCTGTGGTGTCGTTATTAAACAGAAGCTCTGCATCTTGGTAAAATGCTGGTGAGATACGGCTACATCTACCCTCTCAAGGAACCGAGGTCTCTTGTACTGCGTGCTGATGAGTCACCGTACCGCTTCCAGGTCAGATCGGGTTTCCATCGTGATGACGTTCCCCCTGTTTTACTCCTTAACATCCACTTTCTCTCCATTTCTATAACCATACATCTATCTATTAGCAATGACCAAATTCAAAATACAATAATACCTTAAGATACGAGCATACGAGTCCGTTCCAGTCCGTTCCAGGACCGAGCTCGTAACTCGAGGTGTTTCGTATCTCGAATCATTTATTCCAATAAGAAATAACAGAAAAAAAATGTACTCGTTCAGGGCCTCTAAAAAACTCCGTCTGTAAGCGTGCTCGTACCTCAAATCTTTACCCGTATCGCAAAGCAAAAAAATTTGCTCGAACGCCTTGCTCGTATGTCGGGACGCTGGTATCTCAAGGTTCCACTGTGTTCCGTATTCTTTTCACAGACTCCTTACTTCTGGACCAGCAGCCGGTGGCCTGCATCAGAGATAGACTATGGTGAGGGAAAGTAAAGAAAACATTTGCATAACAAAATGGACATACAGGGATTGGACAATGAAACTGAAACACCGGCCATTCATTGTCCAACCCCTGTACATCAGTTAATCACCTCCAGTTAATTCCTTCCATCCCATCAGCAATCTACTTGGCCAAAAAGAACATAAGAAAACAGGGAGAACTGATGGAATACGAAAAGGTGAGCAGTGCTTGTCAAGAATAGATATTAACTATAAACTATAGATGGGTAAATGTGCACCATCATATCATCCTGCTTTTTTTTTTTAGGAAATATACAGTCTTTTGCTCCAGAGGATAAACCACAACTGGGACTTTGGGGTGAT